GCCTGGGCAACTTAGCAAGATCCTGTCTCAAAATAAAATTTAAAAAATGGACTGGGGATGTAGCAGCTCAGTGGTAGAGTACTTGTCTAGGAAGTACAAGGCCCTGTGTTTAATCCCTAATTAAGAAAATAAACAAAAAGTATGTGTGTGTGTATGTATGTGTGTGTGTGTGTGTGTGTGTATGTATGTGTGTGTGTATGTATGTGTGTGTATGTATGTATATATATACATATATGTATATATATATGATATTTATTTTAAGGAATTGGCTCATGTCATGACAGAGAATAAAGAAAGTCCCAAGATCTGCAGTTGACAAACTAGAGACCTAGGAGAATTGATGGTGGTGTTCTAGTTTGGGTTCCCAGACCTAAGAACCAGGGGACCTAATGGTATAAGTTTTAATCTGAAAGCTGACAGAACCTTATTCAGCCTTTCTGTGCTATGCTGGTCTTCAGTTGATTGGGTCCTCTAACCCCACATTAGGGAGGTTAATCTGTTTTATCCCATCAACCCATTAAAGTATTAATTTCATCCAATGATACATTCACAGACATACCCAGAATAGTGTTTAACCAAATGGCTGGGCATTCTTTGGCTTAGTCTAATTGACATAACAATTATCACATTAAAGTGGGTCATCTTTTTAGAAAAATATTGATGGCATTCATGATGATAGTGTGGTATCTGAGTTACTACTACCACATGCCCAAATCAAGATTATTTATAGCTGCCAAATTCACAATGATTCAGTTTAGAGCTATAGATTTCTGACTCTTTTATTCTTAGTATATAGCCTTCTCTGAAAATCTACATATTGAAATTCATATGATTTGGGAGGATGAGGCAAGAGGATTGCAAGTTCAAAGCCAGACTCAGCAATTTAGTGAGACCCTAAGCAGCTTAGCAAGACCCTGTCTCAAAATAAAAAGAATAGAGATGGGCTAGGATGGTGTTCAGTGGTTCAGCATCTTTAGGTTAAATTCCTGGTATACACACACACACACACACACACACACACACACACACACAAATTATTTTTGTTATGAATTTTATTTTTAGTTTCTTTGTTCTATAGATATATTTAAAAATATGTATTTAATAGGTTGTCTCTGAATTTTGTCAGGATAGTAAAGGTGTGTTTTACATGATTTTTTTATTGCTTGATTGATTGATCATGATACTAGGGAATGAACGTAGAGGTGCTTTGGCACTAAGCTATACCCCCAATCCTTTTTGAGACAAGGTCTCATTGAGTTACTGAGACTGGCCTTGAACTTGTGATTCTTCCAAGTTGCTGGGATTATAGTTGCTGGCATGTACCACCTGACATTATATAGTTATTAAAGAAGGGGGATTTTGAGTCAGATGCAGGTGAATACCACTGGTCTAAAATACCTCAAGCTGTCAGCCTTCTAGAATAGTCTACATCTCAGTATCTTTGACTTTTCTACTGTGCTTTTTGTTTCATCTAAGATCTTGCAAAACCATAGTCCTCCTCATAGAGTGTTTTATAGTGTTGGGATTTATTTTCCAGAAATCCTTGTTCAGTGTTATTTATTAGTTTTCTTCTTAATTACAGCTTTATTAAGATATATTTCATTTGTCAACAGTTTACTTGTTTAAATTGTAAAATTTTAGTGTTTTTTAGTTTATTCACAGAGTTATATAACTATTGCCACAATCTAATTTTAGGACTTTGTGTCATCCCCCAAAAGAAATCTTATATTCATTAGCAGTCAGTTTCTGTTTCCCTACCCCTAACCCCTGGCAGTTGTTAATCTACTTTTAATTGTATGTGTTTGCCTATTCTAAATAATTGATATAAATTGAATTATAAAATATGTGATCCCTTACATCTGGCTTTTGTCTAGTATGTTTTCAAGATTCATCTGTGTTGTAACATGTATTTGTACTTCATTCCTTTTTATTGCCCAATAATATTCTATTGGCATGGAATAGGAATTAGATGGATTCATTACATTTTGTTTGTGGCCATTGGGTGGATATACTTTGTTTTGCTTATTTATAAGTTGATGGACACTTGGAATTAAAGCAAAGTTATTTAGTATGCAGAAAGCATGTAAATATATGTGTCTAATTAAGTAACAAATATATGCCAATAATTAAAAAATAATTTAAATGTTAACAAGGAGTTCTATTGTAGTTTATTTGGGAGAATTCAGGGGAGACTGTTTGGGTTGTTTCCATTTTGGAGCTATGATAAATAATGTCCCTGTGACCATTTGTGCATAAGTGTTTTTTAGTGTGTGTGCATAAGTTTTTGAGTGGACAAATATTTTCATTTTTCATGGTGTACATTTAGGAGTAGAGTTGTTGAGGTCATATGGTAGCTGCCATTTGACGAAATGCCATACTGTTTTCCAAAGCCGAAATGCCATTCTCATTCCCACCAGCAGTGTATAGGGATTCTAGTTACTGTATGTACTTTCTAAAATTTGTTAGTGTTTATCTTTTTGATTATAACCATTCTGGTGAGTGTGAAGTGGTAGTTAAGTTTTAATTTTGGGACAGTGACAGCAGCAGGAAAGGCACTCTGTAGTATTGTTCAATGTGGTAGCCACCAACTGCATGCAACTTTAAATTTAAATTAAGAAAGTTTTAAAATTCAGTCCCTCAGTTACACTAGTCACTTTTTAGAATGCTTAGTTGCCATTAAGTGTCCCCTAGTGGCTACCCTGTTAGTACAGTTAGATACTTAAAATATTATCATTATCGAAGTGAGTTCTGTTAGATAATGTTGGTCTAGAAAATGTTAGTTTTACAGGGCTGAAAGAGTAGTCACAGAATGGTAGAGAATCTGACAGGTGTAGTAGAAAGGAATGCAGCATGGAATTTGGAGGAAAGAAGGAAATTTCTAAGAACCATATATAAGGCAAAGAAAGATGTAGGAGAAGCTTAAGAGTGGGTAGTTGAAGGAAAAGTTTTTAGAAATTGATTTGACTTTCTTTTTTTAAGTATTTTTTAGTTGTCAATGGACCTTTATTTTTTATTTATGGTGGTGAGAATCGAACCCAGTGCATCATGCATGCTAGGCAAGCGCGCTACCACTGAGCCACAACCCTACTTGATTTGACTTTTCTACAGTATCTTGAGTTAGTGAGTAGATCCAGTCTATGTAATTTTATTTTATGGGTAAAAAAAACACAAATTGTTGGTTGGCAGGGATCAATATAACTGCATTATACCTCTTGTGGGAAACTCCTTGAATCTATTTTAGCCATTAATTTTTAGTATTGTCTGGGAACATGTAGGACATAGATGTAGACTGCCCTTACGCTGGGCATATTATTCAAATGGGAAAGGAGAGAGAGAGCAAAAGAGTTGGTTAAGAGTGGATACGTTGGGCTGGGGTTGTGGCTCAGCAGTAGAGTGTTCGCCTAGCATGTGTGAGGCGCTGGGTTCAATCCTCAGCACCACATAAAAATAAATAAATAAAATAAAGGTATTGTATCCAACTACAACTAAAAAAATATTTTAAAAAATATCAAAGAGTGGATAAGTTGTGAGGCTGGGGTTGTGGCTCAGTGGTAGAGTGCTTGCCTAGGCAGTTGGGGAAGAGCTAAAGAAGAGTCTCTGAGGTTTTGCTGTGTTTTGGTGCATTCTTTTTGCTCCAAAGCCTTATGTCAAGGGTTGAACAGAGGCTCCTTGACCCTGTCTTTCCGTTCTGGCCACCGTCCCTGTTGTGTTGTGTCATGTCAAGCCAGGTAAACCTAGGGCATTGGAGCACAGTATAGGTAAAACATTCAGTAAGGCTATTGAAATGAGCCTTTTCTTTTCCAAAGTGTTGCTCTGTTTGAGTGTTCATAAAACAGACCAACCTTTTTTTTGTGCTCAATATGGTTTCTTAGAGTCATCATGGTACATGAAATCACCTCATGTTCAAAATAGTCTTTCATTTTGTTAATTATATTACCCTGTCTAAAATGATCCAGGCAAGGTATTKTTCATAATGTGATGTTATTATACAGACTGTTCTTCTAGCTCAGTTAACAAATGTGTATTAAAGGACTTAAATTTGGCTTTAGTTCCGTGTGCTCCCTGTGTTATTCCAAGTCCTCTTAGCTGTGATCATTTATATACCACTTATGTGGAAGAATTGTTATCATATGCCATACAGATAATAATTGAACCAATAATTGARGCTAATGCTTTGATAAAGAATTTCTGTGCTGCCTCTTAATAAAAAAGGTATGCTGGAGAATGTATTTAGATTCTGAATGTTGGGATTTCTGGGATATTCTGCTGGCTGATATGGGAATATCACAACAAATATCTGAAATTAGAATTTTGCTGGATAATTTGAAAAGTATGATCACTCCCACAGAATAGCTAATTCCCAAATGCCAAGATGATTATTGCTAGGCTGGGATTATGTCTAAGTGGTAGAGCGCTTGCCTCATATGGGTAAGACACTGGGTTCTAATCCCAGCAATTCATATAAATAAATGAATAAAATAAAGGTTCATCAACTAAAAAAAATTTAAAAAGGATGATTATTGCTTTGTTAAATGCTGAAGACAATTTGTACGCCAGCACTGCATATAATAGGATATTCTTTTTACTGAATGAACTAGAATCCACAAAATAATTTAAAATTAGTAGTAGTCAAGCCAGGCATGGTGGTGCATGCCTATAATTCCAATTACTTGTAAGGCAGATGCAGGACGATTCCAAGTTCAAGGCCAGCCTTAGCAACTTAGTGAAACCCTAACTCAAAATTAAAAAATAGAAAAGGGCCAGGGATGTAGCTCAGTGGTAAAATACCCTGCGTTCAATCCCCAATACCAAAACAACAACAACAAAAAGTAATATTCACGGAGGAAGCCTTGAAAATAGGACTCATTCTGATAAGCAAATCTAAGAATTTTTCAGCATTTACAATCTTATCACGTGATAAATTTCTTTAAAAACAAAAACTTAAAGAGCTCTCTTCCAGTTTTCTCAGTGTAATGCCATTATGCCATTTCTTTCTGCAGATTTGATTGTAAATGCATCACGGAGAGGCATCCCAGAATGAAGAAAGCAAGCAGGAGTGTTGGCTCAGTGCCTAAACTGTCTGGAACAAGTAAAACACAAACAGTAGAAAAAATTAAGTCTGAAAACAGCTCTTCAGCATCTACAGGAGGCAAACTTGTAAAATCTGGAACAGCAGCATCACTCTCAAAGGTATTCTCATGGATTTTAGGAGGGATATATTTTAATATTACCTTGGATTTATTAAATGCATGTTATTTAGGAGTTGTCCTTTCCTGGCACTCAGAACACACAGCCTTTGAAGAGAGCTTATAGTAGCTGGCTTTAATTGGTGTTTTGGTTTTATGAATGATCTAAATAATAGTGTGAAACAAATAATTGAGGGTCAGGGCTGGGGTTGTGGCTCAGTGGTAGAGCACTTGCCTAGCTTGTGCTAGGCACTGGGTTCGATTCTCAGCATCACATATAAATAAATAAAATATGGCTGGGGTTGTGGCTCAGCATTAGAGTGCTTTCCTAGCATGTGCTAGGCCCTGGGTTTGATCCTCAGCACCACATAAAAATAAATAAATAAAGGTATTGGGCCCAACTACAACTATAAATAAATAAGTAAGTAAGTAAGTAAGTAAGTAAGTAAATAAATAAATAAATAAATGTATGTCCATTGACAACTAAAAAATAAATAATAATTGAGGGTGCCTTGTGCAGGGTGTTGTGCTCGTGTGAGTTAGGAGTAAAGTCAGCCTTCAGGGAGCTTGTGAAGTAAAGAATGGAGGTAAGGTACAAATATGAATAACTGAAATGAGTGGAAAATGTCATATGTCCTAGGGAAGTAGTAATGATTTCAAGTAGGAAGATATTGTTTCTTGCCTGGGAAGGTTTTGTGAATAGAATGTGTAAACCAAATCTTAAAGCATGACTAGTTATAGCATTCCCGTGACCCCTAGACAGGAGTTCTTAGCCCCTTTACACAGCATAAAATGTTCTTTTTCTCTGGTATTTCCATCTGATCTAGTATTAACCCTAGTTAAAATTGGGGATTTTAATTTAGTAAGCATAATTAGTTTCCTTTAAACTCCTTAGAGACCAGAATAATTTTTCTTTTTTTTCGTATAGCATAGTAATTAGACCATGGGTGTTAGGAAAAACAGACCTGGGCTTAGTCCCTGTTTCATAGGACTGTGGTCATCATTAAATGAGGGATGTATGAATGTGGATGGTCCAGAGCTTGGCACAAGGCAGTGCTTAGTAGAGCTCCCTCTCACCCCTTGTGGTGCTAGGGATTGAATCCAGGGCCTTGTGCATATTAGGCAAGCACTCTACGACTGCGTTACACATCCCAGGCAGTAGCATTTTTATTGGTTAGATCTAGGAACTTTTCTCTAGTCCAGGATTGAGGAGTTTTCTCATGGGGTGTTCTTAGTGTCGATGTTATTTGGGCCATCCAAGGGATAAGCTTGCTCCATGACGCTTACTTGCTGGTCCAGTCTTTGACATTATTGCACAGAAATCCACAGTATTCTAGCTATCTCAAAAGTTAATTTGTTCTGTTGTTTATTTTTTTATTTTAGGGTTGTTGAGTTTGGGGTAGAAATTTTGCCTGTATGCAGAAAGCCAGAAGGGGGTTTCTGCTAGTCTGATAGGGAAAAAAACCAAGCATGACCAGAAACATGATCCATTTAAAAGTCTTTTGTTTGGTCAGAGACTGGATAGATTATGGATTAATTATTTTAAGAAGCACCTCAGAGGAATAGCTCATGAGGAACTTCCTTATATGTGTTGAAAGATCTAGCAGGAAATGCTGGTTTTTCTGTTCCAAGATTGTTGCAACCGGGCTGAGACTGTAGTTCAGTGGGAGAACACTTGTCTAGCAAGTGTGAGGGCCCTGGGTTCAATACTCAGCACCACATAAAAATAAATAAATAGAATAAAGGTGAAAAAAATTTCTTTTTCTTTTTTTTTTTTTTTTTGTACTAGGAACATGCTATCTGTGAGCTTATCCCCATCCTGTTTTTTTTTTTTAAATTGGTTACAATGCTCTTGACATATCATATTTCATACATTTGATTCAAGTGGGTTATGAACTCCCATTTTTACCATGTATACAGATTGCAGATTCACATTGGTTACACACATCCATGTTTATACATACTGCCATACTAGTGTCTATTGTATTTTGCTGCCTTAAAAAGAAAAAAAAGAAGGATTGTTGCAAGTGAACCCAGACTAATTCTATAGGTTTAAAGAAGCCCCCAGATTTTCTTCTTGCCGTAGTCCTGATGAATTGCTAGTAGTTATCCTATGGCCTGAAGGATGGTTCCAGGAATAGACCTTTGCCCTATTTCTGTTAGCTGAATCAACATCCAGAAATATTTCCTTGGTAGCAGTGCCACCACTCTTTTTTGTAAGATATGTGGCATTTCTGATGTAACTAGTTACTCAGTTACTGGGACTATCTTCAAAGTGGAGTGAGTACCTGTGTGACTGAGTGACCTGTTATTTATGTGACTGGAAGAACAGGTTGAAATCTTGGCATTGAATGTGCATTGCTGCCTTCCTTCTGTGGCCTCTTCATCTGTGGCAAGCAGTGTCTTTGAAGATTTACTATGGACTGTGCACTGAGCAGGCATGGTATCTCTTCTGAGGTGTGGATCTGGAGTTGCTGGTATTTTGGTCTTAAACAGTGAGTATGTTTCCATTATAAAGCAGAATGTATACCTGCTCTTGCCAGTACATGCCTGCTGTTCATACCTTTGGCTCTGCTACTTTGGCAGGTTTGTGTAAGTAGGGGTATGTGTGTGTGTGTGTGTGTGTGTGTGTGTGTGTGTGTGTGTGTGATGTAGTTGGTGGGAAAGGTCAGGTGAGAAGTAAAATTATTTCGAAACACTTTGCCAGTGATTGGAGCAATTATTTTCATCTTAAAAAGAGGGTGGGGGAAGTCATTGATTAGAAATTGAAGTAAGAAGAGACAGAAGGAAAGAAGAAAATTATGAAAATGAACAGAAAAATTGAAAACATTCATGGGCTTTGAGGGCCTGTGGGTGTAGATCAGTTCTAAAGTGCTAATTGAGCATGTTTGAAGTCCTAGGATTGATTACCTAGCACTACAAAAAAAGGACAGGGTGCTTTGAGACTTTTCATATTTGAGTGTTATTTTATATTTCTGAGTTTTCTTATTTCATCTTTTCTTGGCACATGCTGCCACTCACAGCATGAATTCCTATAACTATGAGGGAATATTGATGATGAACCAGTGTTTAGCTTTTAATTATTTAGACACCTTGTACACACACTCATCTATTCATGTGTAGACACCCAAACTTATGTATCTGTCACTGCTCAATATTCTCACAATCTCTTTCTTTTTTTTTTTTTTTTTTAAAGATAGAGTGAGAGAGGAGAGACGGAGAGAGAGAGAGAATTTTTTAATATTTATTATTTTTAGTTCTCGGCGGACACAACATCTTTGTTGGTATGTGGTGCTGAGGATCGAACCCGGGCCGCACGCATGCCAGGCAAGCGCGCTACCGCTTGAGCCACATCCCCAGCCCCACAATCTCTTTCTTAAAATATGCATTTTTCCACTTGTTTTATTTCAAATGTTGTTTGAAGCTAGAACTAGTTGAGAGGAGAAAGGACACTTGATCCAGAAGACCGCACTAATGATTAAGGCTTTTGTAAGTATAAAATGAAGTACTGCTGCTGTCCATGTTGAGTTTTGGGCAGGTTGTAGTCACTCTTTTCAGGAGCTGTGACATCTGGTTTAATTCTTTGTCATAGCCAGTATTCTTTTCCATGTTGAGGTAGTCTCCAAACCTCTGTACCTTTCAGGGTTTTTGTATACTAGTCAGGAGTTGATGGTTAGTTCTTATAGAAGTAATAAACTTTTTCTTTATTCTGGAGAATATTTTTTCCTAAAAATTGATAAACGTGAATTAATAAGCTTCAGTCACAATCTAAGTAATTGGTAACTTTCAATGACTATTTGTGATTTATTTTTTTATGATCATAATCTTGTAGTATAAAAGTTATTAGGGCTAAAGGTGTGGCTTATTGTTAACCATCTGAACAATCCATCTCTTAAATTTGAAAGGTAAAGCTCAATGAAAACTAAATTTGAGCTAAAGATATAGACTGAGAAACTTAAGTCTTGACCTTGAGAAGTATGTGTTTTTCGATTGTAGTATTTCTTATTTTTATCTGAAATATTTTTAACAAATGATTTGCAATTTGCATCTGTTATTAAAAAGTAGGCTAAAAATGTTCCATCATCAATTTCATGGTTTTGGACTGTTGCTGATGGGGAGTGTTTATGTATAGGAATGCACATGTATTTACAGAATCTTGTAGCAAAACTAAAAGAAATAAGGAAAAAAAAAAAAAAAACCCAGCAAATCTACCAGTAACTTAGTGAAAAATACAAGCTGGAAAGTACAGAGCTGTTTTTACTTTTTTGTTGCTTCATAGCTTACATACAAAGTTTACAAAGCATAGGTATTGAGCTTAATGAATCATTGTAAAGTGACAGTAGCTTTAATTTTCATTTACATTATTACAGTGAGATTGAGCACATTTTCATATCTCTTTTTCTTTTCTTTTGTTTTTTAAAGAGATAGGGTTTCACCTTGTTTCCCAGGCTGACCTAAAATTTCCAGGCTTAGGCCATCCTCCTGTTTCTTTTCTAGTAGCTGGCACTCTAGTCATGTACCACCATACCTGGTTCCCCAGTAATATCCTTTACCAAGATTCCCTACATGTTAATCTTTTATCATGATCACATGTTTTCCTCTACATACATATACATACATGTACACACACAAACAATTTATATTTTTAAAAAACTGAGTGTAAATAGTAGATCTGATGGTTCTTTTTTTTTTTTAAAGAGAGAATTTTTTAATATTTATTTTTTAGTTTTCGGTGGACACAACATCTTTGTTTGCATGTGGTGCTGAGGATCTGAGGATCTAACCTGGGCCGAACGCATGCCAGGCGAGCACACTACCGCTTGAGCCACATCCCCAGCCCCGACCTGATGGTTCTTTACTGCTAAATATTTTAGAGTATATTTCTTAAAAAACAAGGACATTGTTTTATGTAGCTATAGTTAATTATAAAATTAGGAAATTAATATCAATAAAATGCTAGAATCTAATGTATTAAATTCATCAATTCTGCTATCATTCATTATT